AAGTCAGCATCATGAGAAGAAAGGGACTGTTTTGGACTAGCTGAGACTTACAGAACATAGTAACCAGAGACAACATGAAGATGTGGACTCGAACCTGGTTTAGATGAATGAGCTATAAAAAAACATTTCTGGAACAACTGGAGAAATTGGAGTTGCCCTGGACATTAGATAAAATTTTACTGATATGTAAATATAGCAATCATTGACAACAGAAAAGCAGATTATAAAACAGTTCATACGACATGGTCGTATTTTGGCAAGTAAACACACGCATGCACACACACAAACCAGGAAGGAGATTTGGTGCTTTTATTTTTTTGGTAATGTGTGCTTCCTAAATTTCTATAATTCAAAATATAGCCAGGCTCAGTGGCTCAGCCTTTGGGAGGCTGAGATGAGTGGATTGCCTGAGCCCGCGGGTTCGAGACCCATCTGGACAACTTGGCGAGACTTCATCTCTGCAATAGATCAAAAAAATTAGCCAGGCGTGGTAGTGCGTGCCTGTAGTTCCAGCTACTTGGAAGGCTGAGGTAGAAGGATCGCCGGAGCCCAGCGGGTCGAGGCTGCGGTGGCCAGGAGCGGCCACTGCACTCCAGTCTGGGCGACAGAGTGAGACTATAACTCAAATAAATAAATAAATAAAATAAGTAGTTATTTGTAATTTTAAAAACTCAAGGATTTCTATTTAATATCTGATGCCACAGACACATGACATTCTAAGATAACGATATCTAAAAAAATTAACTAGAAGTTATTATCTAGAACAGATGTTCTCAACTGGGGTTCCTCATCTGAATCTTAAAAACCAGAGAATAATTTGAGTATTTTCTGAACTCTCCCAAGGATGGTAGGTAAATAGTATCATTAAGTAGTACATAGTAAATTCTAGATCAGGGGTGTCCAACATTTTGGCTTCCCTGGGTTTCATCAAGTAACATAAATTATATAATATAGTTAATGCATATACATATATGCATGGGGACACAAAGAGAATAAATGCTAAAAAAATACATGTTTAAAGATTTTGTGGGGTCGCATTACTAGCTGTCCTGGGATGCATGTGGCCCTTGGGCTGTGGGTTGGACATGCCTGTTCTAGATGCTTAGGAGAAAAGTTAATTTATTATGTAAAAAAAAAAAAAAAATGCCTTAGAGCATTTATAATACATTTGTAATAGGGGTAATTTGTATTACCCTTATGTAATAGGGCTTAATTCTCCCTAGGAACTGAACTAAAATATGCAAGGATCTATTGCAAAGCAACATGAAAAAGATAGAGAACAGCAGAAAACTTGGTAAAGAAAATGAATAAGTAATTTACAGAGGGAAAAACCAAAGAAGTGAAGGAGGATATGAAATGATACTCAACCTCATTAGTAATCAGAGGCATGCAAATTAAAATGAGATCATGCTACACTTATTGGATTGGCAAAATTAGAAAGGTGATGTGAGTTGTTGAAGATATGCAGAAATGGGATCTCTTATGCACTGCTGATCATGAGTATAAAGTACTATAACTATTCAGGAGAGCAAACTGATGATATTTACTAAAATTCAGTTTGCATGTGTCCTGAGATCCAGCAATCCTACTTCCAGCTCTAATCATGAGAAACTGGCACAGGACCATAAGGGAACACGTACAAGGATGCTCATGGTGGCACTGTCAGTGGGGGCAGGAAGTGGTCTCCAACTTCAGGGGAATGTAAGAATAAAATATGGTGAATGAACACCAAAGATTCTTGTGCAGCTGTTAGAAGCAGAGAACTAGATGTACTTTTTTTTTTTTTTTTTGAGTTGGAGTCTCACTCTGTCGCCCAG